TAAGAAGAGTCAGAAAGTATTTGAAAATGAAATCTGTATTATAAGGTTAGAACAGCATCATACACTAGAGCTAGAACAAAAAAAGGAAACAAAAGAGAAAACCCCAGAAGCAGAGAATTTAGTATATAACAAAGTGATGCTTCAAGTCAGTCAGGAAAAGATGGGTTATTCAATAAACTGCTGGGACAGTAGTTGCCTTGGTGGTCCTTCCCATGGGCAAGACACCTGTACGTATCTTTTCTAGAAAAGTTTCACTAGCCTGATCATTCAGAAAATAGTTTAGGTTGTATTTTTCTGTCTGACCTTGTAATGAAATAAATTCCTGCTAAATTAATGAAAGAAAAAAGAACAAAGTCATTAAATACAAGAAGAAAATATTGGTAAATATATAATGTTGGGCTTGAGATAGACTATAAATATAATCTTAAAGGCAGAAACCATGATGAAAAGACAGATTTGTTTCTATCAAAATTTTTTAAAGTTTGCGTATCTGCGGATACAAATTAACAAAGCTGAAAGACAAATACCAAGCAGGGGAAATGTTTATTACATAAATGACAGAAAATTCTTAAGTATATAAAGCGCTTTCACAAGACAATAAGATTAAAAGGAATGTTTGATAGACAAATGGGTAAGGATATTTGGTAAGGATACAAATGGATAAAAAAAGGATACAAGAAGGATACAAAGGGATACATGCTTACAAATGGTAAGGATATTTGCCAAAGAAGAAATCCAAACAGCATATAAGCAGGAAAATGTTTACATCGATGAAAAATCAAGGGAATGCACATTAAAAGGACAGTGAGGACCCTTTCATTCTATCAAAGTTTCAAATATCTAAAGTAATTTTAATCTTGCATTTCAAGAGAGTTGCATATCAGAGTGTTGACAGTGATTAATTATCTGTGAGTAGTGGGTTAAGGGCACTTTTCACTTGTTTGATTTTTCTTGGTATTAATAGTTTACTTCTATAATAAAGGAATAATAGTTTGTGCTGACTCTTAAAAGAGTGCTCCACTGATATCTCTGGAGAATTCATTCCTGGGGAAGGAGCAAAGGACATGTCGAAGCGATGGGCTTCCTCTAGGACCTGGCTTGCAGTTGCTGACCCACATTGCATCATTTTGGCCCCAACTTCAGGACCCGAGGCCAGGTGGCTGCCATTTGGACAAATGGCATGAGACCAAGTCACAGAGACCACTCAGCAAGTGGGAGCCTAACAATCCAGGTGACAATTTATGAAAACAACACACTAGAACTTGGTGTGACTACTCTCTTCAAACCAAAAAAAAAAAAAAAAAAAAAAAAAAAGGAGAAAAAACTAAAGGTATGCCTGATGCCTGATTGTGTTCTGTGGGAAGAAAGGCTGGGTTACCAGAAGAAAAAGTGAAATCATTCAAGCCTGTGGATGAAGAAAATGCTGAGCGAGTGTTTGTTGAAGTGGAACAGGCAAATGGAGATGCCGTAGTTGTCCTCACTGGGGTCATTTCAGAATCAGAACCGGTCTGTTCCAATGTTTAGAACAGTCCTGCCTGGCCCATGTTCAAGAAAAATGAAAGTTCCCTTCAGTCAACGTATCACCGGGTCACTGCAGCCTATCAAGTGTGTGACCCTTATCAAATCCCATGGCCACCTTGCTTGGCTCTCAAAATGAATCGAGATCAGCAGAGAGTTACGTAGTCTATTGAGCTACTGTCTACAGCTGGTTTTAAACCAAGCTGAGCTTCACAATTCTTCAGTTACTCTCTCTTTAACTGAGGATTCAGCTTCTGGTACTTCCTCTGGGAGGTGTAGATGAAAGTCTCTCTGTATCCAGGCAGCTTCTACCTCTGGAAAAAACTGAGTTACCCTGGGTTGGGTTCCCTGGAAACAGCCTCTGAGATAAGTCTCTGTGTGCAGAGTTGTTGGGGGTGCGATGGAGGGGTCCTCAGGGACAACACCCACAAGTGAGGGGTAGAGGACTGGGCAGACGGAGAAATGGTGCTTCTCAGACAATCCTATGGAGAGTTCTGGAAGTGTGGTGACCTTGTAGTGTTGTCCTCAACTGAGGCACAGGGGCTAGGCCTTTGTATCCCCTAAATTAACCAGTCACTGGATGCATGCTGTTCCTGGGGAAAAAGCATATTTTGGATGAGGCAGATTATATCAGTCTTTGCCAAGGGAAGTCTCTAGGGAGGAAGGCCGCTGAATTGTCCTAGCAGACTGTTGAGGAAGAAAAGAAGGTCCCGAGAGAAGTGGGCCTGCTGGAAGGATTTCTTGTGGAGCCAGAAGACCAGACAGATGGGTATGCTCCACGGGAGGTCCAAAGGACAGACCATCCACAATGGCGATGGGAAATGCACTAGTGAGAGAAGTACCAGCATCACTAAGAAGTTCAGAGGGGGTTCTTTTCTGCAGGCCAGGGATGATGGGAAGAGAAGCAGTCATAGGGCTGGGGTTGGTAATATCTTGGTTGGTAATGACAGCATCCTGGGGCCACAGAAGCCAGGTGGTGGCCTTCACCACCAGAAGCCTGGAGGCTGTAATTACCAGAAAAGCTGCCAAGTTAAGAGAGGCTTCGCAGGGAATTGGATCTTCCGGGGCTCTGAAGGTATTTAATAGTATAAGGTGGGCCTAGGGGAAAACTAGATGGGCAGCTAGCAGGGTGCTGCTTAATATCTATAACCAGAAGAAGGCAAGAATGGGGGAGCAGGAGTCTGAAGGTGGTTGTCCTAATAAAAAAGTCATGCTTCTTGTTCAGTTCTCAGATCTCAGTCAATCTTCAGACCAAAACCACAGAACCCATCAACTGAAGAGGTGGCTGAGTCTTTAGGAAGGACGCTGCAACATGGAAACAAATATCTACTATAATGATTACTCTATGGACTGTGACCATTTTCATGGCTAGCTGTATGTTGGGGAAAGAGAAACACCCAGAAATTTTGCAGGGTCTGAAAGGATCTCATTAGCCAGAAACCCAAAGTGTTATCCTGGTCCCTCTGTAATTACGGGGGTCACGTGGTAAGCAGAGTCCTGGATGATATCCAGCTTTCGACGAGTCCATGGGAGCACAGACCCATCCGTTGGTCTTTCCTCAGTCCCTGAGTGTATTATTGGGATGATATATTGAGAGCAAGCTCCACATTAGGTCCTTGGCCTTGAGTAGTCATGGTGGGGAAGACCAAGGAAAGCCACTAAAACTGTCCCTTCCCTACCAAGATGAGCTAATAAAGCAAAACCAATATTTCACCCAAGGGGACAGGAGGAGGATGGTAGAGATTAATGCCACCATTAAAGATCTAAAGGAGGGGTGCCTGGGTGGCTCAGTGGGTTAAAGCCTCTGCCTTCGGTGATCCCGGGGTCCTGAGATTGGGCCCTGCATTGGGCTCTCTGCTTGGAAGGGGGCCTGCTTCCCCCCCCCCCCCCCCCCCCCCCGCCTCTCTGCCTACTTGTGATCTCTGTCTGTCAAATAAATAAATAAAATCTTAGAAAAAAAAAAATACCTAAAGTATACAGAGTAGTTGTCCTGTCATATCTCCATTTAATTTGCCAGTCTGGCCGCTTCAGAAACCAGGAGAACAGTTTATTGACTGTGGACTTAACCATGTAGTTGACCTGATGACAGTCACTGCACCATCTTGGTGATCTGTCATAATACAGTCCAAAAGGATCTGAACCACCTGGACATCGCAGAGAGCCCCACCCCATCTGTTACACTGATAGCAGCGTGCTCCTCAGGCATGCTGAGCAGGAGATAGCTAGCACATTGCAACCCTTGGTCAGACACATGCCCTTCAGAAAAGCCCATGAAGATTCAGGGACCTGCCACTTCCATTTTCAGGTAATCAGTGATCAGGGATCTGCCAGGATAGTTCCTTCAAAGTAAAAGGCAAATTAGAAAACACAAATAAGCAAGGCTAAAGAAAATAGTGCCTATAATCTTTAAAACCTTATAATCCTCTAAAGGTGTCCTTAGTGTTTTAGGATGTTTTTCATCGTGCGCAGAATACCAATCTCACAAATACAGAATCATACCACTATCTGATACCGTGTTTATTTCCTTGTTCGTTTGCTCACTGCCTAGATCTCCTCACTGTGTATACAAACTCCATGAAAGTCACGTCCTTCTCTTGTTCACTGCTGCACCCCTGGCACCTAGAACACACTTGGTGCTGGATAAGTATTTTTTGGTGGCATAAACCATACATACTAGACGCATTGTTTTGTAGCTAGTTATTTTCAACGAACTTCCAGCTGCTTCAGGTTGTACTTCATTTTTCTTAAAATGCGTCGTTCCGGAAGTCATGTGAAGTCACGTGAAGCAGAGAGCTCTCACTCCAGAGGCTACTTTCATCAGTGCAACTTCAAAACCAAGAAACCTTAGTCTTTCGGCAGCCCTCGAGTCTCTTTCCCTTTGGCCGGCCCTGCCGTAGACTCTTGAGCCGTCACAGCCTTGCCTGGATCATTCTTTAGAGGTCCCAAACCAGGTTCCAAGGACACGAGGGAAGACCTGACAGGCAAACAGCCTAGCCCGCAGCCACGTCCCTCCTCCGGCCACGCGGGGGCGTGAGAGCGCCTCCGTGGGCTCCCGGTCAGTGGCCCGCTAGGGGGACTACTCTGCGGGTGTGGGCGGAGCAAAAGGCGCCCCGGCCCGGACAGGAGGCAGGAAGTGAGGAGGCGGGGCTTCTGCGATGGGGTAGGCGCTTGCGCAAAGGTCCGGTCGGCGGAGTCTTCGTTTTCGCCACTGCTAGGGTCTGTCCTGGTGGGGACGCGTTTGCCCTTCTTTTACGAGTTGGGCCGGGCCCAAGGGGAGGGGGCAGAGTGCTCGAGTTGGGGTGGAAGGACTTCGAGGTGGAAGGACTTCGGGGGCGGGGGCGGGGTGAGGGGCGGGGCTCGTGAGCACCGAAGGGAAGGTTGGGGTGGCGGAGCCTGGGGGGCAGGGACGAAGGGGCGTCCGGGCGGAAGTGGGGAGGGCCGGCGTCTGCGGTCGGGGGAGAGGGGCGAGTGGAAAAGGGGTACGGGAGAGCCCCTCCTCAGCCGTCCCTCCCCTCCCGGCGTGAAGTGCAGGGACCCCAGGATGCCCAGCCAGCCGGGGAAGTGCAAGTCGGCAGGTGGATGTGGTTTCCGGGAAGAGAACCCTGCCTCTCCCTCTCTTCAGCGGCTGTCTGTCTGTCTGTTTAAAGTAGTATAATTAACGCAGCCCGGCGTGCCTCACACTGACACCTTCCCCCGTGGAAAACCGCTTCTAGCCGCCTGAAGCAGCCCGGGAGGCAATCCCTCTCTTACCTCCTCCCTCTGAAAGCCGAGAGCATAAAAGTTTTCCTGCCTAAGCCCTGCCACGAAGAACGGAACATTTCCTGTCGAAACAGTTCCCCGGAGTTGTGATAATTCCTTCATGAAGTCGTCTACGGATGCTGCTCTTTACACTCTTTAAAGAAATGTCACTTGCCTGCGTAAAGAGGAGCAACGGTGTTGTTGCGCTCTGCGGTCCTCAGTGAGAAACTTGAGTCCCGGGCGATGAGAATAGCTCATGGGGAACTCAGGGACTGACGGGCTCTAGTGACTGCAGCCAGTGCTGTGTAACCCTCGAGAAAGTGATGTGGGTCTCTCTCCATCCTCTCAGGCGTGGGGGCGAAGGGGTGCAGCCTGGCATTTGGAAGCTTAAGAACCAAGTCTGTTGCCTTCCAATTTATTTGTTTATTTTTTAAAAAGTCTTCCATCATGGGTGTACTTTGCTTGATTATTTTAAAGTACACGTCCTATTTTTGCCAATCTGACAGCTGTTTCCATAGAAACCAGAGAAGAAATAGTCATTTTCAGCAGAGTTGTTAAAACTGTCTTCCAGGCTTCGGCTGCGAGTGCCAGTGAGTGCTGTCCTTGCTCGTTCTGAGATGGCACTTGAAGAATTAAGGATCTGAAATGTTCTTAGAGGCTAACAATCCAAGTTGTGTGATTTTTCTCACATCATTAATTTAGTAATCTTAGAAGTTTGCCAGCTATGTTTGTTGACCTGCTGCGGTTCTTTGAAGAGGAAGTGTCAACCCTGATTCTTTCTTAGGCTCTGTGTAGACTAGTGTTGGCTCTTTGAAAACATATAAATAGATTTCTTCCCTAATCCTTTACCCTTTCTTAAGGATAAACGAGGGATTGCAAAATATCAGGCACTATTTCTGTTCTAAATGACACTTGACTGTCAGTGAAACAGATGATAATGTTTCTAGTTATGTTCATGTAATGTTTGGGGCTTTTGCTTATACCTTCTGTGTCAAAATTTGTTAAAGATTTCACTCAAGACATGAGAGATGAGCGGGAGTTTGCTTGCAGTAGTCACAGAGCTAAGCAGTGTCATAGATGTGCATAGAAATAGAGACGCGAGCTTTTCTGAAGGGTATAAGTAAATCAGTGGGTCTAGAGCTTAGGAATGGGCGAGGGAGAGCTGGGGTAAGATGCCTGGAGAAACAGTGGGAGGTGGTGTTATGAGAGGCTTGGTCTTCTATACAGAGGAGTTTATGGAAGCCCATGGAAATCACTGGAAATTACAAAAGTAGTTGCCTTTATTGGTTTTGGGGCTTATAAGAGTAACAATACATCCTGTAAAAATTTAAACAGCACAGAAATACATGAGATGAAAATACTAAATCCTTTACATCCACCATTCTGCCACTCAAAATAACCATAATGAATAGTTTGCTGTGTTTTGCTTTAGATTTATTTATTATCTATATATACTAGCATATTTCAGCATTGCTATTTTTGTAAGTTGGGCAGAGATTTTTGTTTGCTTTATTTTCTGTGGTATCTCAAAAATCCAGAATGGCATGTGGTATGGCATGTAGGAGGCACTCATTAAATATTTAATGAATGAATAACATCATTCAGAGATCAAAAACTGAATGGGGTCTAGTGTAGGTTTGTTGGGCCGAGGTGGTTAAAAAGGTTTTTGTTTGTTTGTTTTTTAAGTTCTTTGCCAGCATTTTTAAAACTGATAACTTTTTCACATTAAGCTTGAATTTCTGACTTTTCTTGAAAATACTGAACTGTGGTAACACTAAGCTCAAGTTCCTTTACACTTGTTGCATCTTCTTTAGGTGGACATGAATCTGCATTTACTTAAGTATGACTTTGCCTGGACCCTACAGACTTGCGCTATTGAGTACAGTAGCCACTCGTCACCTATGGCCATTTTGTTTCAAATGAACTAAAGTTGAGTTCATTAAGAATTCTGTTCCTCAGTCACACCAGCCACATTTTGAGTGCTCAGTAGCAATAGGTAGGAGCTACCATATTGAACAACGCAGACACATTTCTATCATTGCAGAAATTTCTGTCGTGCCGCGCCGGTTTACACATCTGAATTTGCCATTCCTGATCTACAGAATTTTTGCAAGTAGCATTTGTTGTTATTTTTAAGAATTTTTAAGATTCGTGTCTCTTTTTGCCATTACACAGATCTCCAATTTTTAAAAAATGGCTGGATAGTACTTAACAGTGTAGGACTTTATGTGAGTTGTGGGAGTAGGATTCTGTTGTCTGATTTGCATTTTAGAAAGATTGCTTAGTTCTAGTTTGGGGGTGGTGATGAGCTGGAGGGGAAGGAGTTGGTGGTTTAATAGGCAGAGAGAGTGGAGGGTATATAGTAATCCACAATTTAAGGCCACAGAGCCCAGGAAAGGGTAGATTGAGATATTAAGGAGGCAGAATTGACATGACTGATTTCATGTGGATTGAGATCTTTTGTATGGTAAAGTCACTGCAGAGATTACCCAGAACTGATTATCTGGAACTGATTCAGTGTTGAAAATTGGGAGTTTGGCTTTACAAAGTCTAGAAGGAACCCTTAGCTAATTCTAATAAGCAGCATGTGTAATGTCAAAATGTTATCAGCATGTATATGAAAGGTGTAACTTACACCGTGTAACTTCCTAAGTCAGAGATCACTTATTTACAAGATACAGAAACTCTTTGAAGAGAGGGAATTGTTTTTGGAAGAAAATAAAAGCTCATGAAGCTCAGTTAAATTTAGAAGTACAGTGGGCTCTTGGGAACAGGATGGTTTGAATCTTGCCCCCCATCCTTTTTTTCTCCCTGAGACTTCGCGATCTTTTCCTTTCCTCACATTGATTCCATTGTCCTTTCTGTTGACCTCTTTCTTTTGTAAAGGTTTTTGTTTGCAGTTCGTGCTTGCATATTGCTTTGTGTTGCCATAGCACCAACTATAACTCAGTTTATACATGCCTTTACTCCTTTGCCTGACACCGCCTCACCAAAAGTCTTTTCTGTGTCGCATATCCACTCCTGGTTCTGTGGCCAGTGGCAGGGGCCACTGGGAAAGATTGAAAGTCCGGCCCTGTCCCTTAAGTTGAGGCTGTAGGATGCCATTATAAAGGGAGTGTGGTCGGGCAAGTGTCTGAAGCTTATCTCCTATAGTAAAGGATCTAAGAATGTGGGTTTGTGTTGTTTTTGCAGTTTGGCTTCTAGCAAATTTTTAAACCTTAAGTATATTTTCCCATTTGAAACAATTTTTTTCTCCATCTTTCCATATGGCATAAAAAAGAAGAGTTGCCTTGAACTCTTCTGCTACTCATGGATTTCCTTTCTTTTTTAAAAATTCATTTAATGCGTGACACTTAATGAGGAACTATATCTTAATATCCCTTAATAGTCTTGCTTAGATACATTTTCCCCATCAACTCCATAACATCCATGAAGGCAGGGACTGGATTTTATGCTGCATCTGTAACTCACAAGCTACCTAGCTGATGAAGAACCTTACTAGCTACTCAAATACTAATTTTGAAATGATTTTTAAGCCTCAGTTATTTTACTACATTCAGCCTCGTTCCAAAAAAAAAAAAAAAAACCTGGAAAGTGTCTTGTTAATAACATCAGATTATTATGTATCAAGTCTGGACTCTGATTTAAAATGGATAGTGATTCCAAAAGGTTTACTTGGAATTGATGTTTACTTAGCATGCCATTTATTCACATGATATGTTAATTCAAGGTTGGAATATATAAAGTATATACAAATTTTGAGTGACTTTCAAATAGCTTGATATATAGGTAATGTGGCTTATTAAAACTGATGTTCTGAAGCATCTTTCTAGATAATATTGTATTAGTTTAGTTTGAGTTAGATTTACATATTTTCCTCCAACCTTTATTGTGAAGATTTTGAAGCAGAAAAGTTGAAAAAAAAAATTTTTTTTTAAAGATTTATTTATTTATTTATTTGTCAGAGAGAGAGAGAGAGAGGGAGAGAGAGCAAGCACAGGCAGACAGAATGGCAGGCAGAGGCAGAGGGAGAAGCAGGCTCCCTGATGAGCAAGGAGCCCGATGTGGGACTCGATCCCAGGACGCCGGGATCATGACCTGAGCCGAAGGCAGCCGCTCAACCAACTGAGCCACCCAGGCGTCCCAAGTTGAAAAAAATTTTAATGAACACATCTATAAATATGACTTAGATACGATCGTTAATATTTTACTACATTGGCTTTATGTCGCGCGTGCGCGCGTGTGTGTTTTCATTATATAATTTGAAATGATGAATTTTATTCATCATAAAGAGCTACTTCAGCGAGTACTCAGTCAGGTATAAGATATTAACCTACATAACCACATCATTATCATCTAATAAGCAGTACTTACCTAAAATAACCTAAAAGCAAATCCATGTGTAAATTTCCCCAGAGTCCCAGTTATCTCCTAAAGCTGTTTTTTTTTCTTTCAAACTAACTTCTAATCAGAGTTCACACATTGCATTTTATTGTTGTCTCTTTTTAGTATCTTTTGAAAAATAGTTCAATTGATATGTAATTGATATAAATTGTACATATTTAAGCTTTGTAGTATAAGTTTTGGCATGTGTGTAAAGCTGTGAAACGAACACTACAGTAAAAATAGTGAACATATTTGTTATCTCCAAAACTTTATAATCTCTTTCCTGATTTTTACCTTCCCATCCTTAGGCAATCATTGATCTCTTTGAAATATAAATTATTTTGCATTTTCTACAGTTTATATTATAGAGCTGGAATCATAGAGTGTGCACTTTTTTGGAGGATGTAAGGGTCTGGCTTCTATCACTTGATAGTATATAGAGATAAAATTGTTTTTGTATATTGCTTTTGTATCCTGCCCCCTAACTAAATTCATTATGATATCTTTGGATTCTTTTTAAAATTTATTTTATTTTTTTTTAAAGATTTTATTTATTTATTTGACAGAGATCACAAGTAGGCAGAGAGGCAGGCAGAGAGAGGAAGGGAAGCAGGCTCCCTGCTGAGCAGAGAGCCCGATGCGGGGCTGGATCCCAGGACCCTAGGATCATGACCTGAGCATCATTACCTGAGCCAAAGGCAGAGGCTTCAACCCACTGAGCCACCCAGGCGCCCCATCTTTGGATTTTAAAAATAGATGATCATGTTACGTAGGCATTAAGGCCACTTAGCTTATATGTTGCTTGTCTGTGTGCCATTTATTTAATTAGACATTTATTCCTCTTAGGAGGAAACTATATTCTTTCTCCAATAAATACGCTGTTGGTTATAGTTTTCTAGAGGTGTTGTAGTTTACTGAGAGATTTTTTTTGTTTTGTTTTTTGTTTTTTATCAGGGTTGGATGTGGAATTTTATCAAATGCTTTTTCTAGGGCACCCTGGTGGCTCAGTCAGTTAAGTGTCTGCCTTCAGCTCAGGTCATGGTCCTGGGGTCCTGGGGTCAAGTGCTGCATTGTGCTCCTTGCTCAGCGGGCATCCTACTTCTCCCTCTGCTTGTGGCTCCCCCTGCTTGTGCTCTCTTGCTCTCTCCCTCTGACAAATAAATAAAATCTTTAAAAAAATGCTTTTTCTTTATTGAGATGATCAGGTAGTGTTTCTTTTTCAATAAATAGGGTGGATTACATTGCTTTATGAATTTTTATTCAAACTTACATTCCTGGGACACATCTCAGATGGTTATGAAGTAGTCTTTTTATATATTGTTGAATTCGATTTTCTAAAATGTTGTTTTGTATCTATGTTCATGAGAGATATTACTCTATAGTCTTGTAATTTTTTTCTGGCTTTAGTATCACAGTAATGCAGATTTTATGGAATAAAATATAAACTATTAATTTCTTTTCAATTTGCTGGAAGAGTTTGAATAGAATTTTTATTAATTCTTTCTTAAATGTTTGGTAGAATTGCCTAGTGAAGCTATTTGGGCTGGGAGCTTTCTTTGCAGGAAGGTTTTTAACTACAAGTTCAATTTAAAAAAATAAATATAAGGCTTTTCAGATGTATCCATTTCTTTCTGAATTAGCTTTGGTAGTTTGTGTTTGTCAAGGAATTGGTCCATTTTATCAAAGGTGTGAAATTTAATTTTTTCTCTTCCACTTGTTTTAAGAAATTTGATTAAGATATGTCTTTAAGTAAGTTTCCTTTGGTTTACTATGTGTATGGCTTTTTAAATTTCTTAGATTTGTGGGTTTACAGTTTTCATGAAATTTGGAAAATGTTGGCCATTATTTTCCCAAGTTTTTCTTTTTCTCTCTCTTTCTTTCTTTCTTTCTTCCTTCCTTCCTTCCTCACTTCCTCCCTCCCTCCTTCCCTCCTTTTTTCTATCTATCTATCTATCTATCTATCTACTACCACCCTTCCCCTCTTTTCAGGGACTCCAGTTATACATATATTAGGCCACTTGACTTATCCTATATCTTCCTGATGCTCTGTGCCTTTTTTTCCCCCCCTTGGTTTTTTATTTTGGTTTTCTTGGTCCCTATTGATATGTCAAGTTCACAAGTTTTTATTTCATTGTTACAATATCTAATCTGCTCTTAGTGTCATTCACTGTAATTTTCATTGAAGGCATTGTACTTTTCTTGTCTCGATGTTCTTTGTAGGTCTTTTTAAAAAAACATATTCCATGTCTCTACATAACGTTCTCAGATTTTCCTTTAAGTTCCTAAACACATAGGATATAGTTGTAATTACTTTAATATCCTTAATCAATCAGTGCTGTCGCTCATGTTATTTGGGACTGTTTTTATTTTTCCTAATTATGGTTCACATATCCTGCATCTTGGCTGCTGGTAATTTTTAATTATGAATTTTACCTTATTAGTGGTAGATATTTTTATATTCTTTTAACTGTTTTTAAGCTTTTTTCTAGAGTGTGGTTAAGTTCCTTAAAAACAGTTTGATCTTTTTTAGTCTTGCTTTTAATCTTGGTTGGGTATGGCTAGTGTTGCTTTTAATCTTGGTTGGGTACGCCAGAGTAGCTTTTAGTCTAGGACTAATTTTTCTCTAGTGGGGCAAAACTCTTCTGAGTACTCTACCCAATGCCCCATGAATTCAGAGGTTTTCCACTTTGAAGGGTAGAAATAGGCACTCTTGTCTGCCCTCCACGGGCCCTGAATATTGCTCCTCTAATCCTGTCAAGTGATTCTTTCCCATCTTTAGGGACTTTCTTCACATGAATGCCCTGTTTAGAACTCAATTGAGGACACCAAGCAGATTTCCCTGCCTATCACCTTCTGGAATTCTTTCTCTGCACAGTTGTGTCTTCTCTTGTACTCTGCTCTGCAGGGTCTCGTTTCTGTGGCCTACGTGAACTCCCAACTTCATCTCTCCAATTTAGGAACATTGTTGGGCTGTGCTAGGTTTCCCCTGTCTACATAGTGGCCTGGAAATTCTCTAGGTAGGAAGCTGGGGCAACTGTAGGAATCATTACATTTGTTTTCCATCTCTCAGGGGTCACTGGTCTTCATTGCCTGATGTCCAGTGTGTTGAAACCATTGTTTTATTTATTCTGTTTTTTCATTTGTTTTCAGTGGGAGGATAAGTCTAGTTCATCTTATTCTATCTTGGACCCAGTCAGTAGTATGAGGATTATATTTGAAAGGATCAGATTGTATTTTAAAAAATACATTTTTAAACTTAGATTTTACTATTCCATTACATGCTTTTCCCTTTACTTACTGCCAGTTGCTAAACCTACTGTTATTTTAATTCATTTCTTATTCCCCAGTAATTTAACTGTTAAAATAAAAAGATTTCCCCCAGCTGAAACTAAAAAATGAAAAGGAGAAAAAAAATACAAATTTCTAAGGATGTGTTGTAGAGGGGGAAAAAAAAAGTGAGTAAAAGCTGTTTGGTTTTTATTGCATGGGCGTGGTGGTAGAAACCCAAGGTACTTCAGTCTGAAATATGTCAGGGGAAGAACAATTGACACACCTCTATTTCTTAAGAGTTATGTTCCCAGTTTTGTAAATACATATTTTCCAGAGATATTTTTAACTTACTTTTGTGTGTGTGTGTTCCAGATAATCAAGGAGAAGAAAGATGAACTTAATCTATGGATTGCAATCTGCTACTAGAAACTGTGTTTTCTTCCGATTTCATTTGCTGGCCCACTGGAGAAAATGTAACACACGAGCTGTAACCTCACCAGACTGTCATCAAGTACAAATTAATCATATAGTTAATACGTATCAGGGTCTGGGAATAAATCAGTATGATAGGTTGACTTTTCTGCCTGAAAATTTTTCTTTCTCTAAGACCTTCAGTAATGAAAGACCAGGATGCCTCTTGAGCACGAGATGTAAGGAAATTGGGATGGTTACCCCAAAACGTACTGTGTGGAATGACTCTTTATCAAGACAACTACAGATAAAAGAAGTTACAGGAATTTCTGCTCTTTCACTATTGCATCCTCTAAACTGTCTTCATGAAAGAGACATCAGGAGTTTCCACACTTCTCCTCAGTGTCAAGCTGCTCCGGTTCCTCTCTTGTTGATAATTCTCAAGCCAGTGCAGAAACTATTTGCAATCATTGTAGGCAGGTAAAAAAACTTTAAAAAAAATTTTTTTATATTACAATGTATTTATAAAACTGTACTTTTAATTAGATTTCCCACCCATATTTAGCTCAAAATTCAGTTTCTAAACAGATGGTTCTACCCAGTTTAGTAATTTTGAAATGATTTACTGCATATTATTTTTTTATGATTTTATTTATTTATTTACTTGGGAGAGAGAGAGAGAGACAGAAAGACAGACAGAAGGGGGAGGGGCAGAGGGAAAGGATGAGAATCCTTAGTAAACTGCACTGAGCACGGAGCCTGAGATCTCTGAGCTTTACAGTTCTTAGATCATGACCTGAGCCGAAACCAAGAGTTGAATGCTTAACCAACTGAGCCACCCAGGTGCCCCAATTTACTGCATATTATAGTATAAAAATATGATCTTTAAAAAATTATCTTATATAGACGCTTCTTAAAAGATCTTATGTAAGAGCAGTACTTACGAACATATGTGTTTAGTTTACAGAATCTGAGTCACTGGGTCATGAAACTGAAGAACTTTACTTATTTAAGAATGGGCTCATTCCTAGCCAGGTTAATGCTTAACTAGCATTTATTTTTTCTCTCCTATTTTTCTAGGCAATATTTTTCTATTCTATTTCCAACACATCTTTGTTATTTTCTCTTGGGTAGTCCTTCATAATAATTATGTTTTTACAGTTAATAGTACCTTATATTTAATTTAGACCTCCCCCCATAAATAATCTTGTTTTGTCTTATTTGCCCCATTTATTAAAGAAAGGTAAAGTCAAACATTGTCTCCTCATAAAGCTTTCTGACATTTGATGATTGTGAAGGCCCTTCTAGCCCTCCTACTCCCATACTAACTAAATCAATTTTCTTTCTATCAGAAATTGAAAACTTCTGTTCTCTTAATATATTGTGTTGCTTATGATTTGACATTGGCACCCAGAAAAAAATACAGCTGTGGTAGCTCTTGATGTAAGTAACGGCTGTCAGAGAAAACCAGAGCTAGACAATAGTTAAAGCAGTAAATACAGATTTTATGCGGGACTTTTGCAGTAGGGGAAGAGAGACCTAAGTATAGAACCAGAGTTAATTTTGAATACAGCATGGGCAAGAGGGAATTTATAGAGTTAATTTTGAATACAGCATGGGCAAGTGGGAATTTATAGCCAAGGAGCAGGGTGAGGTTTGGTGGATGGAAAATTGCTAAGATGAATCATTAGGAATAAGGGGGAATTCTCTCTAACATGACCCTTCCAAGCTTCTTGCCGAAGACAGGTAAGGGTGATCAGATATCACTTGGGGGCTGGTGAATGATGATAAACCTAATCAGATACTGAGGGTGATCAGATATGGAGGATGGGGGATTCTGGGTAAACTGATTTAGCAGGACTCTTGCTGAAACTGGACAATGGAGAGAGAAATACAGAAGTCCAAAGGTGAGGCCTTGTTGAAAAAAGCCTGAGTAGATTCTGGTGGAAGAGAGAATCTTTGTCACAGCTCAGCCTAGGTTCTTAGGCCAATGGCTCTTTATTGTCCTTTTTAATCATTATTTTTAACTTTTTGTTTTTGTTACTATTATGACAACTTAACATTTTCTTTTAAGCTGTGTTTTCATAATTTTAAGCAAAAAATAATAAGTCATATAAAGTTTAAGTAGGAAATGAGTCTGGCCTAAGTTTCTTCAGGTTGAAACACTTTGAGGCATTTTAGGTGTGTCACTTAATAAAATTAAGATAACTTGAAGTTATTTTATAAGATGAATTGTGTCAAGAGAATAATGTATTTATCTTAAATTTTTGTTATGATTTCACAGATGAACTTACGAGGGAAAATTTTGCCCTGGTATTGAAAACATTGCTTATCAAAATGTCTGTGAACCCCAGTAAACAACAGAGAGTATTGTTGCCTGGTAGAAAGTAGACCTCCTCCTGTGTTAACCATACGGTCTCTCATTTCTTTATTTATAGTGTTTAAGCCCTTATTACTTCTCCTTTGTCATGTTCTTGAGGGGATAGTGGACTTTTTTCTGGTGAGCAATACTTACATCTAAAATCAATCCTGAGGTAGTTTCCCTTATACCTTGCTGAAGTACTGGCGGATAGTAGTAGTGCCAGAAGTCTCATGAGCAGTGGGGAGGATCATGGTTAAAGGAACAGGTTATTGTTACCATAATCTACTCAGATGTTTATGGGGGCAGTTCATCCCTACTCAGTGGTTAAGTGCTCAGACTCTGGGATCACATTGTCTTCCTTGCCTAGTTTTCCCTTATCACTTCTGCAACCTTGGGCAAGTTGCTTCACTTCTCTCTCTGTCTCAGTTTTCTCTTGTCTAACGGGGTTATTTTGAAGGTTAAATTAGATGACATATGTGTAACAATTCGAATAGTGATTTGCATGTGGTAAACAGTCAATAAAAGTTAATTAATGGAAGTTGTGTAAAATAGATACTCAGTGTTCACCTTTAAAATAACTGAAGAATAAAATGTGTGTAATGAACATTAGAATTTTTAACTATAGTTCTATATAACTGATTACTTGTTTATCATTTAACTAAATTTTATAAATTAAAAAAAATTCATCTATACAGAGAAATATATCAGAAAAATTCAAGTGTTTGAAGACATAAAATCCCAGCATAAGATTAAGTTTTGGTGATATGTGCTGATACTCTTTTCAGGACTTTGAATTTTCTTTTTACTCTAGGGGCATAAGGAAATGGTGGCAGGCACTTCCTCCTAACAAGAAGGAACTATTTAAAGAAAGTTTAAGAAAGAATAAATGGAAGTTACTCCTATGTTTCAGTAGTTTTGGATTGCTCTTTGTAGTGTTTTATTTTACTCACCTGGAAGTGAGTCCTGTCACGGGAAGGAGGAAGCTACTATTATTGGGGAAAGAACATTTCAGACTTTTATCAGAACTGGAATATGAAACAGTGAGTATTAAGAATTGTTTGTAATTAGATTGCTTAATATAATACTCAAAGCAGGAAAGTTTCTTCAGATGAAAGATGCACTACTTTTTAATGTTGATCTTTGATAGAAAATTAGCATTTTCCCAAAAGGCCCCCAACTTTTTGTACTTAGTATTCCTACTGCCTACGTTGCTTTTCTTCTCATTCACCCAGCTAACTCCTGCTTATCACATGTCACCTTAAATGCCACTTTCTCGGGAAAGCCTCCCTTGATTATCCAGGCTGAGTTACGCAGGTTGGCTACTTTAGGCTCTAGGGGGTATCCTTCATACAGACTAAATTATAAATGAGCTCATTTGTATTTGTGTCCAGTGCTTGGCTCTATTGTGGTCCAGTCTCCTACTTTTGTTTTCTCTTTGCATACTGTACTGTTCCCTTAAATCACTTATCATGAGGGTAACATAATAATTATTTGCATAATTATTTATTTGCTGATCTGTCTCCTTTGTTAGCCTAAGCTCTGTGGGAACACAGACCCTGTCTGTTTCATCATTTTTATCTTAAGTACTAGCACAGTGTACAAAGTAGTGCTTAGTATACATATATTTTAGATAAGTAGGTATGTAATAGAATTTTGTACCTTGAAAGTAATGTAGAATAGGATTTTTTTCTAAAATATCATTTCTGGCAATTTATTATATTTTTTGAATGCAAAATAAAGTTGGAATTCAGAAGCCTTAACTCCTTAGCAAGTATGAGGTAAGTTAAGCATTTTATACCACTAGAGAGTTTCTTGAGGACAGATCCTCTTTTTCCAGTTCTTAGCACACATATATAGCATGTACTCAGTATTTTTTGAATTAAAGTCTCATAGTCTCACTTGACAGTTTTGGCATGGCTGAATCTTTGTGGCTTTTTATTTCAGTGAAGCTTCTGAGTTTGTCGGTGGAAAGTTACCATTAAAAAAGAAATAACAATGTTTTTTCACTAAAAAGGTTGTTCCTAGTAAAGATAAGATGCATCTCTTCTAGTAGAACTTATACAGAGATTGGAGGTGTTTCTTAGGATAGTCTTACCTGAAGCAAGTTTGAGGAAAATGTTCTGGAAAGATTGAGGCAGGCCTAGTGTTAAATTAGTATGTCTTCTACCATTCATATCACTTAGACGCTTTAAATAATTATGTGTTTATATATATCCTTTTTTTCCTACAAATGTAATAACCTGCTTGATATGAAAATTGAAGCACATGTTCTTATAGAGATATTATAAAGTGCTGTTATTATGTATAATTTTGCTTGTTTTGTCTACTTCAGAAGTATAATATTTTTTGTTTCGGTTTACAGTGGTGACTTGTGCTTTTTAAAAATGCTATTGATTCTAAAGACTATTTAGATTCTAGTGCTATAAAAACATCTATTTTTAATACATCTCAGGGAAGGTTATAAACTTTTTGCTCCATATGTGAAAGAAGTTACACATTTTGTGGAAATTAAAGTAATATTTTCAGAACACCTTTAATTTTCCTACACTTGAAAGGGTTTCTCATGAATATAGCTTCAGAAAAGTGTCTTCATATGGTAGCTACTCTTACTCAACATAGTGTAGAGAAAATGACATGCCTATTCTAAAATTTCAGAAATTTCCTTTGATTCTGTGTGAATAAACCTTTAAAATTAATGAAATGTCCTTTTTTTGGTAGAAGTCTTTTTTTCATTAAGTATAGGCTGTTCAATTCAGTAGGTTATGAAAGTAATTTTGTTTTATATTTCCTTACGTGAAATCTTTGTCCCCTAGGCAATGTTTTGTTTTCCAAAATATTTAGGAAAAATAGAAATCATATTTAAGCATTTTATTTGTTTATAGGCTAATAGAAAAGATAAAAGTTTTATTTCAATCAATTTATATGAAAAATCTTAGTTATTAGAATTCATTCCATTTGTGAGAAATCACATTGCCTTTGCCTGAATAATTCAGATTTAAGGATCTAAGTGTTTAGTATATGTAGATTTTTACATAATTAAAAATACTACCAATAAGTAGCCATATAACTTTTCATGAAGCAGTATAAACATTTTGTAGTAGAGCTACAACTCTCTGAAGATAAAGATGACTTTTTAATCTTTCAGTGGATGGACGAATTTAAAAATGATATGCTCACTGAGAAGGATGCCCGATACCTAATGGTTAAGGAGGTGGTTAATCATTTGATTGAATGCAATAAAGATATTCCAGGGGTCTCTGAGATCAATTGGATTATTCATGTGGTTGATTCCCCAGATGTAAATGCCTTCGTGCTTCCAGTAAGTGAAAGTTCTCACACCTAATGTTTAATTGTTCAATTTAGTCCTTGTTTTTTTAAGGTGTCCACTTGCTTACATTGTTTTCTTTATGGTGCAGAATGGACAAGTGTTTATCTTCACCGGGCTTTTAAATAGTGTGACTGATATCCATCAACTTTCCTTCCTTCTGGGCCATGAAATAGCACACGCAGTACTTGGGCATGCTGTAAGTACCTAGAATGAATATTCAGTTCTTACAATACCGCTTTGAAGTTAGCAAGTTAAATCTTGTAAAACCGACTTTTCAGTTTTCTTTTTCTTTAAAAGATAGAATTTTAATCTTTAGTAATTGACTTATTCTGTTACCTGAAAAAAATATGATTGGGTTATTGTGAGAATTTTTATGGTCTTTAGTATTTGATACCTGAATAATTAGTATTTCTCTTAAATAGTATTGTTATTACCTGTCTCTTTTGCTAAAAAGTAATTATTCTCAACCTCTAATTACTTCAAATTAGATTTTAAATTTTCCATAATTATTAACATACTTGTAATCTGTTCAGAAAATTAACTATATGAAAGTGATATTACTATTTAAGTGGGTAAATCAGTTTTCTTACTTTTTTATTCATTCTCAGAGGATTGCTTGGAGCATCTCTGAAAATCTCCAGATTGATATGCCATATATAATTAATGCAGAGTAATAATAATGATATCTTGCCATTTTATAGTTTGCTGAGCTTTTAAGTACATACCTTCTCAATTATAATTTTAATAACATTCTCATTAAGTATGTATTTAATATCTCTATATTCTGTATGAGGAAACTCATGTTTAAAAAGACTGTAAGTAACATGAGTAATGAGGCCAACTGACAGATTGGGATTTTAACCCAGTTCTTGTGTTTGTAAATCCAACACTGCTTCCTTTTACCATAGTTACCTGATTATTGGTAGAGCTTATTTTAATGGATCATAGAATTAAGGCTGATTTATACTCCTGTGAATACACATCTGTTTGACTTGGTATGAGTCCAAAAAACCCAATATATTTATTTACTCATATATTTATTTTTATTCGTTAAAAATAAACATATCTCTTTTGTCCACATTAATTAGAAAGACATATATTTCCTAATTGAAAACAAGAAGATAAATAGTGAAAGAATCGTGAAATGCTATGTTGAAAATGCAAGTAACACTAATTTTAAATGGAAATGATAATGTTACTAATCTCTATAAAAGTCATCTCAAATTCTGTCTATTCCTTAAAGTATTAATAAATTGAGGTTGGCCACAGTTGTGTTTTTTTGAAGAACAAATAGTAATTATCTCTGTCATTTCTTTTGAGTTATGGAAAAATAGAAAAAACATTTTCCATGAACAGATATGTATAAGAATAAATCTAAACAATCAAAATAGATTGTCTTTCAAGAAAGGGCTTCATACCTGTCAATTAATATTGGTCATTTTTAGCATTTAAGAGATGTTCATATTCTGTGCCTTTACCTTTCTGGCCTCTAGTTCAGTGCCTCATTCAGCATATTGTTGTCATCTCGGTCAGGACAGGAATGCTAATTAGATAAGATACAAAAAGAAAATACCAGTCTTAAAAATTGAAAATAGCTATTAATATTTTTTGTAGAGGTCTTACACATTTTCAGCAGTGTATTTTCTCTTTTAGCAGTCTCCATTTTGATTTCATATAGCCTTTAATGTTTTCTTTCTTCTACAAATACATATTTAAAAAATTTTTTTAGTTTTCTAAAACTCTCTAATAGCAATTATATTCTTTAATAATTAATAACAAGGATGTTCTCTTCAGTAATGACTTTATCATTTGTAGTTTTCCTCTTTTGTGCTAAAGTGATTCCATAATTGTTTTTCATGATACACGGTTCATATAATAAAGCAAAGAATGCTTTGTGAGGGTAGATTATATCATTAAGAGAAGTGTTCTAAGTGATTATGTTTAGTTGTCAGCCTTGTTTCATACATTCAAGTAATGATTCCTATACAGTCAATATCAGCATTACATTAACATTATTAATCAGCTTTATCAGGGAATGATAAACAATCCAGTGTGTTAAACTTGCATTTAGAAATTACTACTCAAAACAGCTATTTTAAGTAAAATTGGTTACTGTTCTAAATAAATATAAAACTTCGTAGAACTCTATTTCCTAGTGAGAAATACCAGAGTGATAAAATTGCAAACTTGCATAGATGAATCATACCTTATATATTAGGTCATAAAGTCCAAAAGACTTTTGTTTAAAATAAATTTCCAATATTTTTCTGAATTTTCTGTGTTTTAACTATTTCATATGTTAGGTAGTATTTAGTCTGTTCAAAGGTATAAGCATAATGAGCACATTTGGTTGCTTTAAAAAGTAACGGGTATATTAGAAACTAAAACTTCCTGGGTTTGTCCTTTTACTAATAGCTCTGTGAATTTTGGCAACTCTGTTAACTTTTCCCCATCTTAGTTTCTTTATAAAATAGGGTAATTGTACCTATTTCACAAGATTATTATGCTTGTTAATATAAGAAGCATACATTCTTATATATCTACATAAGAATATACATTCATATCCATGAACTTGTCATTGTGTCTAAATGATGTTATGTGGCTTGGTAAATGAATGAATGAATGAATGTATATACACATAAGCAAGTATGTAAGCAAGGGAGGGAATGAATTAATGCACATAGAAGAAGAAGAATATGCAATTTTAGTTGGTGAAGGTCAGTTAAAATGTAAATTATTTAATGTAATTATACTTGATGAACTAGAAAATATAGGTATATACTGTCTTTTTATTTTTTGATGTATATTCTTAATTTATTAAAAGTAATTTTCATTATTTTGATTATTCTCAGGCAGAAAAGGCTAGCTTGGTTCATTTATTGGATTTCCTAGGTCTGATTTTTCTCACAATGATTTGGGCCATTTGCCCTCGAGATAGTTTGGCACTTTTGGGCCAGTGGATACAGTCTAAACTGCAGGAGGTAAGTGTGAGACAGTAAGTTGAATTTGTAATGGCCTGTGATGAGGATATTTTAAATATTACTATAAAGTAACAGATACCAGAGATATACCAGAGATGTTTTGACATACCATGAAATACAGCTACTAAATTTTAGTGTCTAAGTTTTCTCATTTTTAGGAGATCTTCTTCTTCTTCTTCTTTTTTTTTTTTTTAAGATTGATTTATTCCAGAGAGAGAGAGCACTACGCAGACATGCACACACACACACACAGGCATCAGCAGGGTGAGGGGTCAGAAAGAAAGAGAGAGAGAGGCAGATTCCCCACAGAGTGTAGAGCCAGCGGGGTTCGACCTTACTACCCATGAAACCATGACCTATCGGAGATCAAGAGTTGGAGGCTTTAGCCAACTGAACCACCCAGGCGTCCCTTTAGGGGATATTCTTAATAATGAACATTCCAATTAGAAGATACTATATCTCTTAAATGATGGGGGATAGATGTGTTACAAGGGCTTAGCAACTTTTGGCTAATACAATACTGTGTGTGTGGGGGGGGGGTACATAATTATTGGTCTAAAGGAGAGAAAACCTGGTCACAGATCCTTTCCTTTCTTCTGTCACTTTACCTTCAGACTTTTCAGTTTTGTCTCTCATAGTGACTGTGGTGTACTTACTATGACTCTCCCTTTCCCCAAATATTTGCATTCTGATGGGAAACTCTTAAAACCTGTAAATTTTTATGGGCACAGTGTTGCTGAAGCTGCTTTACCACCCTTGTCTCCTTACTCCCAGTTAAATTAAAATTACCTGGAAAATACTGAAAGGATAATTTTTTTTTTAAGATTTTATTTATTTATTTGACAGAGATCACAAGTAGGCAGGGAGGCAGGCAGAGAGGGTGGGGGAAGCAGGCTCCCTGCTGAGCAGAGAGCCCATGCTGGGCTCCATCCCAGGAACCTGAGACCATGACTTGAGCTGAAGGCAGAGGCTTAACCCACTGAGCCACCCAGGCGCCCCTGAAAGGATAATCTTATTAGGTGTTTGTTAACTTAATTTTAGTACTTATGTATGTTGATAATCCTTGTAAAATTTATTGGGGTCCTCATTTTGTTCAGAACACTTCACTACTGAAAGTAGGTCTTGCAATCGATAATTGCTTTGTTAACTACGATTAATTATTTTATTTTACATCTTTTTTTCATATATTTTCTCTTGTCCTGGGAGGTTTGGTTATTCAGAAACAATCTGTTATTTGTTTATTTAATGATTTGTGGAGGACCCATCACTGTGCCATCTGGGTGCTGTTTAAATCTAATGTGTAAAATGAGACAAAATGCTTTTGAAATTGGATGACTAAGTCTTGTATTCAGTGTTACTGTATCATCTGGCTGCATTTATATTGAAATAAAGGTTCTTAAAAGGAAAAAAAAAGAATTGTAATTACTTAGGTTATAGGGTCTCATATTTAGAATTTTATTTCTTTTATTGATATGCTGGGAAGTCAAAGGAATTAATGTGGTTTTCCCCTCATTTATCAGTACATAGCTTTTTTCTGTAATGTACTCTGAAGATTTTGTCATAAGAAAGATAACTTGTAGCTGTTTCTCCCTTGAAATACTTCATGAATCGGGCTACTTCATATAATTCTTTAATAATTAAACTAAAAATAAAGTAGGGATTACTTCTTTTTGAGCTCTTTTTCCCTAAATCAAGACTCCCCCAGTAATTTTGGTGATGAGGAAAAGTTTCTCTAGAAAGCTTTGCTCCTTATGATTGGAGAGCAGGAGGGGATGCGGATAGTGAAGTCATAAAGGAGGGGGAATTGCTGACATTCATTTGTCGGAGAAAAGAAGAAATAGGAGTCTTCACATAACCATTGGGGAGTCATATTTTTGTAATTTTAAAAGATTTAGGTATAATATAGTAGCCCACATAGAGTGCTACCAGGTAGGGTTTTAGAAGCTATTAGTGATAAGATTTATTGGTTACTTACCATATGTTAGGTATGAGGATAAACACTAGATTAATTATGTATAGGGGCTAAGAATACTAGCTGTGAGCAGATGGACCTATGTTTGAATTTAGGCTCTGTTAGACCTAAATTCTATAGAACCTAGGCAGATTACTTCACCAATTATAGGTCTCAGTTTCTTCATCTGTAAATTGGCATATTACTGGCTAACTCAGAGCACTGTTGTGGGTTTGATGATACATTTTGTTTTATTTTATTTTTATTTTTTTGAAGATTTTATTTATTTATTTGACAGAGATCACAAGTAGGCAGAGAGGCAGGCAGAGAGAGGGCAGGAAGCAGGCTCCCTACTGAGCAGAGAGCCTGATGTGGGGATCGATCCCAGTACCCTGGGATCACGACCTGAGCCCAAGGCAGAGGCTTTAACCAATTGAGCCACCCAGGCGCCCCAATGATGCATTTTAAAGTAGGATCCCTCAATCTAAGCCTGTTGACATTTTCGACTAGATAATTCTTTGTTGTGGGGAATTGTCCCATGCATTGTGGGATGTTTAGCCTCTAAACATCTACTCTGAACATCCGACCTCTACCCACTAGATACCAGTAGTACTTTCACCCACAACTGCCCTCCCCCACAGTTGTGACAATCAAGAATGTCTCCAGGGGTGCCTGGGTGGCTCAGTTAAGTGTCTGACTCTTGATCCTGATCGGTTCAGGTCATGATCTCTCGGCACAGGTCATGATCTCAGGGTCATGAATTGAGCCCCACATCAGGCTCATGCTGAGTGTAGAGCCTGCTTAAGATTCTGTCTTTCCCTCTGCCCCTTAACCACTTGTGTGCACTCTCTCTCTCTTAAAAAAAAAAAAAAAAAAAGTCTCCAAACATTTCCAAATGTCCCTGGGGGACAAAATCATATCCAGTTGAGAACCAGTGATTATAAAGCATTTAGTGTCGTACCCAGTACAAAGTAAGGACTCATTAAACAGGCGCTGCTATTATTATTTCCTCAATTTATCCTGTCTGCAACCCTAGGAGGTTGGTGCTGTTGCTACTCCATTTTACATATGATGCTACCGGGCTTAGAGAGGTTAAACAATTAGCCAGGTGTTCACAGTTAGTAAGTGTCAGCATTTGGACTTGAGTGTAAGTTTCTGTCCTTTAAAGCCCATGTTTTTAACCAGTTATGCTATCAGTAGACTTGATGGACCCCTGCAGACTGCTCATTGAGAGTGAAGACATGATACAATACAGTTAAGCAGCCGAAAAAAGACATGATTGAGAAGGAAGAAAGTCATATCTAGTAGTCCATGTACTATGGATTAGATTGATTATATTATTTCTAGACATCACTGACATGTAGCTACCTCTGAAAAAGTGTTCCTCTATTAATAACTCTGTTCTCAAAAGTCCTATTGATCCATTGCATACAAATTTTAGTACTTACTGAAAATTAGAATTTAACTGGAAAGCATTCACATAAATACAAGTAATTAGGAAAGTTAAAATTATGATATCTATTTGTATTTTTTTATTGAAGTTGAAAGAAAATTTCATTTCCCTAACTAATCAATACTTAGCAGAGAAAGATAGCATTAAGATAATTTATCAAAGAAAGAAAAGTCTGCTCTATGGTTAATTTTCTAACTGAAATAAATTCTCTAGTAGTGTCAGTGGTTATTATCTAGCTATATTTTTTTCAGTTTTCTTTAAAAATGTAAGATCTGGGGCACATGGATGACTCAGTTGATTAAGCATCTGCCTTTGGCTCAGGTCTTGATCCCAGGGTCCTGGGATCAAGTTCTGTGTCAAGCTCCCTGCTCACTGGGGAGTCTGCTTCTCCTTCTCCCTCTGTCTGCTGCTCTGCCTACTTGTGCTCTCTCTTTCTCTTCAAATAAATAAAATTAAAAAAAATATATTTAATACTGTAAGAACAAAATGATCAAAATATTAAAACTTACATTAATGAGCTTTCTTTAGGGGAACCCCTACACAGTAGGTAGAGATTATAATTGGGAAAATAGAAGTGTGTGTATCCACTGCTTTCTGAAAGTTCATGTTCTATCACTTTGGTTTTAGGCTTTTTTTTCATAAAAGTAAACATACTCTTTGGATTTTTTTTGGTTAGTGAAAACAGGTACTAATGTAGGTCTTTTATAAAAGCAAAGTAATGTGAGGCAAACTTTTGGAAAATGGGGGATACCTGTACAGTAATACTCCTACCCCATTATCCATGGGGTGTGGGGAGGGGAGTATATTCAAGACCCCTAGTGGATAGGCCTAAAGCCTCAGATAGTAGCAAATCCTATATATACTATGTTTTTTCCTGTACATACATATCTGTGATAAAGTTTATAAGTTAAGCACAATAAAAGATTAACAACAGTAACTCATAATAAAACAGAACAATTATAACAACATACTGTAAAAAAAAGTTATGTGTGTGTGGCTTCTCTCAAAATATCTTATTGTACTGCATCAACTTCTTGAGATGATGTGAGATGTAAAATACCTATGTGACGGGATGAAGTGAGGTAAATGATGTAGGCGTTGTGGTGTAGCACTAGGCTGCTAGAGACCCGACCGTGCGTCAGAAGGACCATCTGCTTCCAGACCCCTGTTGACTGTGGGTAACTCAAACCATGGAAACTGAAGTCGTGGGTAAGGGGGATTGCTGTACTCCATGTGATACTGTAGAGTCTCCAGAAGTCTGTAGGCATAATTTTTTTTAATATTCTTTTCATGTTTTAAAATATTAATCTGTGATGGAGGAAATAAAGGCTGCACTTTCTACTTTATATCATGGTATTCTTTAAATGTTAATCATGGGGAGCATAAAAACTTTATCCTAGATGCTCCATGAAATTAATTTCAAAAATTGCATTTTGTTACTCCTTTTACTATGAAATAAATATCCTTAATGGAGCTTCTCTTTCTTATTTCTTCTTAGTATATGTTTGATAGACCGTACAGTAGGACATTAGAGGCTGAAGCTGACAAAATTGGACTACAGCTTGCTGCAAAGGTAAATGCTTGGTAGTTGAGAAAACACAGTGCCCTTCACACAGTAAAAGATAAATGTACATTGTCTTTATGAGCTGTGGCATGAGCAGAGAATGAGAGTTGGACTGTATGAAATTTTTCATTAATACCTTTTTAAATTTGTACATTCTAGAAGCTGATATACTATCTTTGTTATACTTCTCTCCCTTTCTCGCCTATCTAAGGGCTTTTCTGAGTAAAATAATGTATAATTGTTTTTTCCCACTCAGAGAAAGGTTTGTTCTATTGTAGCTATGATCCTAGATGAACCACCTGATTTTATAATTTAAATAAACAGAAGAACAGGCTTATTACTTTGTATCTTTGTATCTTTGAGATTATTTTTGTTGCAGCAAATGACTGACCTCGGCTAGCCAGAGAGCAGCTCTGGGCCTTTACTATGATTTAAGTTGGCTTTTCCTCATGTCTCCTTTACAGGGCACTGGGTGCCTCCCTGCCATTTTTATCATCTGTGATAACTGAGTATTATTAGTAGAATTTAATATTAGAAGTAAAACTGCATTTTTAGAAATAAGTAAAAAACAATGCCACTTGGTACATTAAATTCAAATTGTACTTGATTCCTTGTTGAGTTTCCAGTAGTTATTAAAAATCCTAACTGTTAGAAATCACTATTATTTGAAGTCCTTATTATGAGTTTTATGGATTTAATTTCATAAATGAAGATATTATCCATCACAAAGGCAAAAGTAGTTATGTGAATGTTACATAATGAGAATTGAGTAAATTATCTGACTGTATAGATTAAGAGGTTCCCAAATAGCGGGCCACAGATCGGCTGTAACAAGAGTTTCCTAATTTCAATGTACTGCAGTCTGTGAAATTTTCCTTTTAATATAAGTGTGTTTTGTGTTCTGGTTAAGAAATCTTTGCCCATTTCAATAAGTTTTTACTGTTTTATTTCCAAGAAGCTTATTATTTTATTACCTTTTAAAAATATAATATGTGGAAGAGGTCAGGATACTTTTTTCCCCATGTGGATATCTAATAGCCTCAGCACTGTTTATTGAAGAGTTATGTTTTCTTCACTATACTTTAGCATCTCTTTGTCATAAACGTGGGAGGCTATAGAGAGGTTTATTTCTGGACTCCATGTTGTATTCTACTGGCCTGTTATCTGTCTTTGAGCCAATACCACATTGTCACTGTAGCTTTGTAGTAAGCTGTGATATCTGATAACTTCTGTCCTCCCCTGTGGTTCTGCAAGATTGACTTGGCTATTCTTGGTTCTCTTCCTTTCCATATAAATGTCAGGATCAGCTTATCAAATCACATGCCTATACAAAAACATGCTTGGGATTTTGATTGGAATTGTGTGAATTTGGGGACAGTTGACTACTGTCAATAGTATTGAGTCTTCCAGCCCACGAGTGATCTATTTGTCCATTTATTTAGATATTCTTGTAATTTCAGTGTTGTTTCCAAATGGTTTGTGTGTATGTGTGTGCATAGGACTTACAAATCTTTTGTTAAATGTACTGCTAAGTGTTAGACACTTTTTGATGTTATCATAAAGTGTCATTTAAGAAATAAGCTTCCTCATAGATAGAAGTGCATTTTGTGTTTTTGTAAATGAACTAGTATCCAACAACCTTGCTAAAGTCACTTAATTCTAATAGTGTGTAGATTCTTTTAGATTTTATATATACACATTTGTGTTACTGTGAATAATGACAGCTTTAGTTCTTCCTTTCCAATCTATGTACTTTCTCTCTTTTATCATACTGCAATGGCCAGAAACTTCAATACAGCGTTGAGGGTGAGCAGGGAGTACTTTTGTTTCTTCATGACTTTACGGGGAAAGCATTCAGTATTTCACCATTCTGGTGTCTGTTATAACTTTTTTTGTTTTTGTTTTTGTTTTAAATCTGACTTTTTAGAAGAGTTGCCCTTCTATTCCTAATATGCTAAGAGTTTTTTTAAAATTATGAGTAACTGTTTATCAAATTCATTTTCTGTATTGATGAGTATATAGTTTTTCTCCTTTAATCTGTTAATGTGACAGACTACATTGATTATTATTTTACACATTAGGACAACTTGTTATTTTGAAATTATTTTACACATTATGACAGCTTGTTATTTTGAAATATAATTTTATCAGTTATATTATCCTTTCCACATATTACTGCAGTTGGTTTGCTATATAGCTTAGAATGTTTGTATCTATATTCATAAGATATACCAGCTTGGAATTTTCTTTTCTTGTAATGTCCTGTCATGTTTTGGTATCAAGATTATGCTGGCCTTATAAAACGAGTTGGGAAGTTTTTTTGTTTTTTTGTTTTTTTTTCTTTTCTCCGGAAGTGTTTGTGTAATATTAGTGAATTTATTTTTAAATGTTTGGAGATTTCACGGGTAAAACCATATGGGCCTACAGATTTCTTTGTGGATGGTCTTTAGTTATGGATTCAGTCTTTCTAACAGATAAAGAACTAATTCATATTTTTCTGTTTCGTGTCAGGTTTAAAAAAAAAAAAAAAGATTTATTTTAGAGAGATTGAATGAGTGAGGGGAGGGGCAGAGGAAGAGAGAGGGAAGGAAGTAGACTTCATGCTGACCGCAGAGCCCAATGCGGGACTGGATCTCATGACCCTGAGATCATGACCTGTGCTGAAATTAAGAGTTGGAGGCTTAACCGACTGAGCTGCTCAGGTGCCCCAGTTTTGTGTCAGTTTTTATAAGTTTTGTTTTTCTAGAAACGTATGTTTTGTTTAAATTCTAAACATTACTGGTATAAAGTTTTTTACTATACATATATATTTGCGTTTTGTGTTGTTTTTTTAATTGAAGTATAGTTGACACACAATATTACATTAGTTCCGTGTGTACAAAACGGGGATTCGACAACTCCATATGTTATGCTCACCGTAAGTGTAGCTACCGTCTGTCACCATACAATGTTGTGACAGTACTGTTGACTGTATTCCTTATGCTGTACCTTTCATCCTGTGGCTTCTCATTCCGTAACCGGAAGCCTGTTTCTCCAGCTCCTTCATCTATTTTGCTGCCACTTCCTGCCCCTCTCCACTGGCAAACGTCAGTTTGTTAACTTTACTATATTTTTAATGTCTGAAGGATACTGCATTCTTCAGATATATTTGGTTTATTTGTTGATTCAAAAATTAAGACAGTTTTAGTTAAGTAGTTACACATGTTGTGACTCCTTCCACTGCCAATCACCTTAGTTCTTCTAAAGTTTAAGTCATAATCTTCAAGGTAGCGCTTTTTAAAAAAAAATTTGTGGGGTGCCTGTGTGGCTCAGTTAGTTAAGCGTCCAGTCATTAACTGCAGCTCAGTTCATGATCTCAGGGTTGTGGGATCAAGCCCCGTGCAGGGCTCAGTGGGGAGTCTGCTTGAGATTCTCACTCCCTCTGCCCTTCCTCCCCGCTCATCCACTCTTTCTCCCCCTCTCTCTCTCATTCTCTCTCTCAAAATAAATAAATGAATCTTTTCAAAGAAGATTCGCTCAGTCCACAGTTCTTTCAATTTGGCTTCTTGGATCTCCACTTGAATATGGACATGCTTCAGAACTTCACCAGCTGTAATATTTAGGATCCAGTTTCTTTAAGCAGTTTACTTTAGGGCCACGTTGAGGGTCTGAGTAGATGGATCTGCTTAGTTCTTAATTTCAGACACCCTCTAAACATGAATAAGTTCAAGCTGTATTCACTCCTGAACTATCACCCTCTAGAATAGTACAGATAATTGGGATATGCTAATACCTAAGATTAAAATAATTTGACTGTTAGTTCTTTGATGGTTTTAGCAGATCTGTCTTGTGGTTCTTTCCCATAGATAACACATGTTTCAGCTTGTATATTATCTGTAACTGTCTTGTAGCTCACTAATCCTACTTTCAGCTGTGTCCATTCTGCCATTAAACACATCTTTGACTTTTAAATTTTATTGTATTTTTAAAAATTTTTTAAAAAGACTTTTCCTTATTTATTTGACAGAGAGAGATCACAAGTAGTCAGAGAGGCAGGCAGAGAGAAAGAGGGGGGAAGCAGGCTCCCTGCTGAGCAGAGAGCCCGATGCGGGGCTCGATCCCAGGACACTGGCTTAACCCCTGAACACAGAACTATTGGCTCTGAATGATAATTTCATCCATTGTAGGTGATTCTCCCTTAGTCTGGAGGACAATTAGAATAGAGCAGACTATTTCAGTCAGTCAGAGCCTGAGCTGAGTCTTCATAAGTTTCAATTTACCTGTACTCACCTTCATTTATAAGAGTATTGCTGTACAGGGAAGTCTGCTGAAGGCATGGAGTATTTACTAAGTTCCTCCTGTGTAGTAGTTTTTGAACTTCAGTTTTTGATTCACTAGCACCATGAGACTGTTGAAATCTCTATTCAGTTTTCATCAACTTTCTGTTTTAAAAAGTGCCCTGTGCAGCTTAAGAATTAATAAGATGCCTTGTTGAACTGGCATCCAGTGGTGTCTTTGCCCTCCTATCTTTCGAATCTTAGCTTCTCGAATTTGGCTGCCTTGTCAAGCCTGACTTGTACGTTTTGGCTCTCTAGCCCTGCTGGACAGCTGAAAACTCTCCTTAGTCACCTCTTTCTACTTGGATTTCTTTTGAGTCCTACTTGTATTCTCAGCCTCTGGCTCTTTATTGCTTAGAATTTAACAGATTTCACTGAAATCTTTTCTTTGAAAAAAGTTGATGGTATTTTGATAGGGATTGCATTAAATGTGTAGATTGCTCTTGGTAGCATAGACGTTTTCACAATATTTGTTCTTCCAATCCATGAGCATGAAACATTTTTCCATTTCTTTGTGTCTTCCTCAATTTCTTTCATACTATATGCAGCTAGGCTGTCACTGAAAGTAAAAGGAGAGATAAAAATCTTCAGGACAAACAAAAACTAAAAGAATTTGCAAACACCAAACCAGCCCTACAGGAAATATTGAAAGGGATCCTCTAAGCAAAGAGAGCCTAAAAGTAACATAAACCA